TCAATCGTCGGTGTACCACCTTGGTTAAGATAATCGAAATCCTCGACGGACGTGAGGCCAAGCTCCTGTTTTTCGGGGTCAGTGGCACCGGCAACCAGTTGGTAGAATATATGATAATTGCGCTCTTTCAGTGGCTGGAAGACAAGTCGAGATCGTTCAAGAAGATAGGTTCGTATCTTTGCGCCAATTATATTGGTCCTGTCATCGAACATTATCTCAATGTACTTTCCGAAGCGCGAAGAATTATCGTTGCGGGTGGTTTTGGCATTTCCGAAAGCTTCCATGACAGGATTTGTGGCCAAGATTTGCTCTTCGGTTTCACTGATGGCATCTGCTCGACTGGTAGTATACTTTCCAGGCTGATCTGAAGACTCGCGGGTTGCAAAATAACGCATTATGTACTTTGCGCTGACCGTTTTCCCGGCACCTGATTCACCAGAGACTACAATCGTTTGATTTTTTCCATCGCGTAGCATGTCACTATACAAATCTCGTAAGCAAACATATAGGTTTTTTTTAGGAAAGGAGTCGCTCTTACGCGAACGCTTCCTCGGCGATAGCAAAGAGGTGTGGCGCCTGAGATGCCCTATGCTTTCCAGCATATACTTGCACCATTTGTGGAACGTAAAGTGAATCGACCCGGGCAAAGGGATTGGTAGCAATAAGAACGATGCCGCTATATGTGTATATTTCCTTCTGGGCATAACGCAGCTTGATGGCCTGCAAAACTGGAAGGGACTCAGTAACCACCGTAATCTCGATTCGGAGACACACCCACCGGCTGGCTCATTCAGATGAGACAGGTTCGTAAGGTCTTCGCTGGCTTCGAGCATGGCAGGATTCATCAAGGGCGGCAGTTTTGGATTGTTGTCTACCTGCAACTCGGCCTGGGTAGTTTCCAGAGTTTTTGTCTTTGCACATAAACTTGTCAGTTGATATCATATCTTCTATGTGAGATAGCCGGACAGATAATATAGTACGAACCTCTCCATTTTCTATCAAGAAGACAAGCTGCACTTTGTCCCCATCAACTAACTTCTCTTTGACTTCAGATGCGACCCATCCCTCGGTCGGATCAGGTTGCCAAGCCCTTGTTCCGACCTCGTAATTGTGAGCCATTGCGTTCAGGTCTGCAGATATGTTGTCTCTCTATATCTTGACGTGACCGGAGAAAGCAACCTATGCGGGACGTTCGGAGGATCTGTTCGAATAATCGATGTTAAAAGGCATCTAGTGAGGAGGTGAGGGAAAAGCACAACTGATTAAAGTAGTTCGAGAAATGATTTCCCGTCTGGTAGTGGTAGCGACGGGCTCTATCCTTGATTATAAGTCAGAAGAAGGCATCATGCTTCGCTTCAGGGAGAAATTACTGAACTGGCTAACAGCTGGCGTTACCGAGCCGCAACCCCTGAGGCGGCGCCTGGAGAGCGGCGCCACTTGTCGACGCGATCCCCACAGTTGTCAGCACCAGCGCCAAGAGCCAGAAAGCATGAACATCATGTATTACTGCTATCTAGGTATTGATGATAATCAGAAGCCATCAAGGGGTTGTCTACTCTTCCCCAGAGAATATATTTATACAAGAATGACTAGAACGGACAATTTTCTAGCTCATATGCAGCTGCGAGTCCGAATTGTGGCAGATGCTCTGCAGAGCATAGACAGTCTTACATCAACATAAGATGGTGACAGAACAGGCGGTGAAGAAACACTACTAAAAATTAGCTAAGACGGACCACTCATCGATAACTATCTACTGTATGCACCATACTACCCATTATGGGGGTAAAAGCAGCTTTTCGTTCGTTTTGTATGGAGTCGCCGGTTTGAAAGAGCAAACATTAGCGCTTTTGTTATTAGAAACAGTAGAAATTATGTTCCTCTGGCCACGAAGAGCTGTTTTCTAAATTCTTCCCCCCTGCACAGGGCCATCACGAGAGCAAGCGGACATACGACCTCTGTGTACTGCCCAAGTCTGGAGTAAGCTCATGCTTCGTATCGTTGCTTGGACACAATATTTGGATAGAAGGTGATTAGAGATATGTGTCACGCAACAAGACTAGCGATGCGCACGATGCCTTAAACAAGGAAACGCCAATGGATTGTTTGCACTACAAAAGCGCTCCCCAAGACACTGGGACAACATTCTGAGGCAAGATTACTAGGCGGAAACGACAAGTCAAGAGGACCGGGGGGTGGGAACAGTGACAAATAAATAATAAAATATGATAAAGTAGAGGCGAAAACATTGGAATGACAAAAGGAAAGAAAAAGGAAAACACCACTTGAGGGCTAGGCGTGATGAACTGATTCATGCATGCTCCGAGCTTGGTTTATTGAGCCATGCTGAACATTCTCAGCTTTGTTTACATTCTGCAGCCTCCTTCTTCGGCTTCGAGGTGCCATCCTGTTCTGGTGTTAGCATGGACAGACGGTATAAGCAAGCGATGATCATTGAATGCGCACCTCTTCATCGGAGTCATCGTCAACGTCCCGGTCGGATCTCCTCTCATCATCATCGTCTTCATCATCTTCATCCTCATCTTCATCGTCCTCGTCGTCGTAGTCATCGGCATCCATGTCGTCACCCAGCTCTTCGAACTGAAGGGCCTCTCCCGTGAACCAGTCAATGGCTCTGGGGATGAGCTTCTCCTTGATGTCTTCTCCGAGCTGATAATCAAGCTCGAGTCGCTCCTCGATATCAGTAGCAACGGTATCATCATCGTCAGTCGGGGGCTGAGGGGGGGAGAAGAAGTTGAAAAATGACTCCGTGGGGACGGTAATTTTGACAATCCGGGTCTGTTTCGTATCTGAGGAACGTCAGCTACAGTGCACATTTGATAAATGCTATCTCGATACTCACTCTTGTTTCTCTGTTTCTTGCTCTCAATACGGACAGTAAGATCTTTCTCAGCCTTCCAATCGATCTTAGTGCCTTCGGCGTGATCGTAGATAAAATCACCACCGTAGCCGTTTTCTTCCTTGTAGTAGTAGGTCTTCGAAATAGTCTTGTTTGTGAAATAGGCATTCTCTGAAAATTCGAAGATGAGACGGAAGCCTGGGCGGTCGAGGTATTCCATACGGATATCGACGAGATGTTTCAAAGCCTCCTCATCTCGTTCGGTGATCATTTCTGCGAGAGAAATCTGGTTCTTCATAGCTGAGAGCCAGAATTCAGGTATGCCGGCGATTTGGGACTCCTGATCCTCTTCTTTGGTGGCCTCAGCATCATCTTTAGAGTCAACATCCTCTTCATCACCCTGTCCCGCTTCAACTTCACCATCCGTAGGCTCCGCGGCTCCGTTGACTATCGTGGAACGCCTCTGATACAAGGGAGTAAACTTCGCGAAGTATTTCTTCTCGAGTTCCAGTACTTCTTCCTGGAACTGAGCTTCCAATTTAGCGTGCTCCTTCTGGATACCCTTCAGGCCAGCAACGCGCCGGCGGACTGACACGGGTAAAGATTCAATGTAGCCCGAAGAGCGGCCAACAAGAGATCCGAGTTTTCCCTGAATCATCGAAACGAGCCCGGGGTTGCGTGCAAATAGGGAAGCCGCCGTAGCATGGTCAAGAGACTCTATAATTGGTTTGTATGAGAAACGATCTCAAAGGTGGTAAGGGATTTTACCTTCTTTGATACTAGCAATTCCAGGTTGCTGGGCATGAGAAGAAATAGGAGCATTGTTGGCCGGGGTATTCTGTGGTGTCCTGCAACCGTCGTATCTTGTCAGAGATCAAGAGCATAGCATACAACAAGATGTTTGAGAAGTTGGTAGTTCAGCGAAGGGATACTTACGGAGCCACTGGAAAGTCCGCTTTCTTATTCCTGATGGGCTCAGACATCTTGACGGTGCTGTTTAGGGGGGAGGGGGTAACGAGGAGATGGTTTGGTAGAGGGGTCTGGCGAAGAGAGTTAAGGAAGAATTTGATACGTTTTGCGAGGTCTGGAATAATACTGGCTTGGTGGGATCCCTTAGCGCCCTTGGGCCGAGGGGCTTGGCGGGACGGGGGGCGCTGGCTGTTGAGAACTTTTCAAAAGCTCCCAACAATACAGTGACAATTACTGGTGTCGGCAGGCCATGTGCTTTGTCATTCCAAGGCTTTTAACCAACTAACTACCTACTTAATTACCATTATCCATCCCTTTAGTCAATAGCACAATATAGGTATAGCCTTCTATACTTCATAGTCAATGGCCTCGAAACTATGGCCTTTTAGTTCCAGAATACCGTACTATGCAGCGGAACTTACCATTTCCCCTTAACTTTCCAACATTCACCACGGAGTAGTCTATACTACCTTGTCAAATTACAGATACACGACGCAACTCTCTTTGGGGCTGTCCCTGCTGTATACGATGGTGTTATCCAAGCGCCCCAGAAACAGCTAGCGGAGGGAGGTTTGGGCGACGAGCGATTGAGAAGACACCAGGATGATATCATTTCACCAGTCATACGCGGCCAGGGTCCCGCGGGTCATAGGCAAGTTAAGACTCCTTATAAGAGCAGGACATATAGTAGAAAGGTTACATAAGTAGATTGCAAGTTTTCTATATACTCGATACCAGCCAGTATGAGCTATGCTATTCGCTATTTTCTAGGTAATTTTGATATAACAGAAGTCTTGGCAGACATGACATCTTTGTCAACAGACAGCAAAACTCTGTATGCGGATTGAGGAAGGATTCATAACTCGATGTGTACCGTGACAACATCCCGCCATCTAGATAGTCACGTGGAGATAAGACGTCAAGCAGGTCATAAAGAGCATCTTCGGACCATCACGTTAGTCCACGCACAAACGCAGATCGATAATTACACATCTTACACAGTGTTAAATTTGGTTGTTCAGCGTGACGAGATTGGCGGTTTTCGGCATGCGAAGAGTCAAATAAATCACTCTAATTTCCGTCCATTGCCTGTCGGTGTCAACCCAAAAATCGACCTCTACACGAAGTCGAAGCGGACCTTCAAAAGCGCATAGGAAGTATCATTCTCAAGATGGAGCCTGATATACAACCACCACTAGAGGCTCAGTCACCCATGTTTTCAACTGGGGCTGATCGTCGCCGCAATTCAATAAGAAGCAGGTTCTTCACACTAGACAATACCCTCCTGGTGGGCCTTGCTGATGGTCTTCCAGCTATAGCGTTGTCTCAGACGTTGAAATGGCCCGCAACGAGGTGCGTCCAGATGCCGGCGAAGCTTATGGAACAATGAACATAACTATTTATACTAGATATATGATGGACCGATATCAGAGAGTATCCCTTCCAGTGTTGTTTCCTTTTCCCACCGTCGGAATCGCAAGGATTCCACCACAAGCTTCACCTATTTCCAGGAAGATCAGGAACACCTGGACTGGCCAAACGAAGATACCATAGATGCTGAAAGTGACGTTGACAACTTATCTGATATTGAGACGAACGAGTCAATTAGATCCTCTAAACGTCCCTCCTTTTCTAGAGACTCTGTTCAAGACCCCCTTCTACGAAGGTCTCTATCAGCTTCGTCGCGTGATTATTGCCATAGGGGCGATCAAAGGGTAAGCCAAAAGGTTCACATCGTTTCGGAAGACTTGACTATCGTGATTGCGGGCTTTTCGACGAGTCCTACCGGTCTGCTATTGTATTATCTATCTTGCCTGTTGTCGCTCGGGGTTTTCTATCTCCTATTTCGTTGGTTTCCAAAGTACCGAATCCGTTTGATGGGAATGCCAACACCTCTTCAAACCTGTCAATGGGTTGTGATTGAGGTAAGCAATGCTACGTATGGAACTATAAAAACTTATCGCTGAACTGGGCCCAGGATCAATGGAATCAACTTGACATTCATACGGTCCATACTGAAGTATACGGTCGTCCTCTCTCCACAATCTTCAGTCCTGACTACCAGTCGTATGATGAGGACAATGACCCAACAATCTATCAATTACGGTACATTGATTACAGATATCATCGGCTTATTTACCACCCAGGCGATGACCAATTTTGCCTAATCGGTGGCTGGAAAGACCCTTCCTGGACGAACGCGAAAGGGATGAGAGCTGGACTGGATGCCGATGACCGTGATAGCCGTGAACAGGTGTTTGGCAAGAATCTCATTGATATTCAGCAGAAATCTGTTTTCCAACTTCTTATGGATGAGGTACCTGTTCACCGACGTTCAATGTTGGATTGGCATGCTCACTGTTCCAGGCTTTCCACCCATTCTATATCTTCCAACTTGCTAGCCTTGTCCTCTGGTCGCTTGACCAGTATTACTATTATGCTGTCTGCATCTTTTCCATCTCTGTGATAAGTATAAGTGCTACTATAATTGAAACCAAAGCAGTATGCTGTTCTTGCCAAACCAATGTGCTGGTGTGCTAACTCTATCTAGACAATGAACCGCTTAAGACATATTTCACTGTTTGAGTGCGATATCCGTGTGCTTAGGAATGGGTTCTGTAAGCCAAACTTCTAAGATCTAACCATCCTGATGCAGCATTAACGTTCCTTTCTCCAAACAGGGAGATCTGTCCCCTCTCGGGAGCTTGTTCCGGGTGATGTTTACGAATTCTCTGACCCCTCCCTGAACTATGTCCCTTGTGATTGTATACTGTTATCCGGTGATTGTATTGTGAATGAAAGCATGCTTACAGGTTCGAGTATCGTCTCCCAAGGTCTTGATGAGAATCTAATGGAGGTACAGGTGAATCTGTCCCTGTTTCTAAGGTCCCATTAACAGACGATGCTCTGAAATACCTGAATTTGAGCGCACCCTCAATCCACCCCGCTCTTGCAAGACATTTCTTGTTCAGCGGTACGAAGGTAATTCGAGCACGTCGTCCCCAAGGCGTTGATGATGACGAAGCTATTGCTTTGGCAGTCGTTGTGCGAACCGGTTTCCTGACCACGAAAGGGGCCCTTGTTCGATCGATGCTCTTCCCAAAGCCTTCCGGCTTTAGCTTTTACCGGGACTCATTCCGATATATATCTGTTATGGCCATCATAGCGATTTTAGGTTTCGTGGCCTCGTTTGTCAATTTCATCCGCCTCGGTGTAAGCATAGCTTGGATGCCAAGAAATAATTCCTGTAACTGACTAGATACAGCTTTCATGGCATCTGATCATCGTTAGGGCCCTCGACCTGATTACAATCGTTGTGCCTCCGGCTTTGCCGGCCACGCTGAGCATTGGAACCAACTTCGCCCTCTCGCGACTCAAGGCACATAAAATATATTGCATCAGTCCACAAAGGTTTGAAAACACACCAAGTCCTAAAGGAGACTATGTTAAGCTTTTCAACAGGGTCAATGTAGGGGGCAAGTTAGATGTGATCTGTTTCGATAAGACAGGTACTCTCACGGAAGATGGACTGGATGTACTGGGAGTGCGGATCGTGGACCACAATAGAAGGTTTATATGCGTGCACACTACACTTCATACAATTGCTTATCAGTTCGCAGGTTCTCCGACCTGCTCCCTAAGCTGTGTCTCGCGTCTCCGACATCATCATATACAGATAGCATTCAGGATATGAGCAGGTACAACAACACCCTTTACACCATGGCAACATGCCACTCTCTGAGAGTTGTGGACGGCGAACTTCTTGGGGACCCCCTAGATGTCAAAATGTTTCAGTTCACCGGTTGGTCCTTCGAAGAAGGTGGGAGCCATGCTGAAGAAGCGGATTCCGAGGCGATATTACCGTCGATTGCGAGACCACCTGTCACTGAAAACCCTACCAGTGCTTGTCAGCGAAATAAAATAGAGGTCTGTACGCCACTTTGATGCTTATAAATGACAAATAGTTCGAATCTGACTATGCAAACCTAGGCACCCCTAGAACTCGGCATTTTGCGTGCCTTTGAATTCGTGTCACATCTCCGTCGAGCAAGTGTTATTGTACGCCAGTATGGTGACACTGGTGCCAGCACTTTCGTGAAAGGTGCACCAGAAAGTGTGAAGGCCATATGTCTTCCAAGCAGCTGTAAGGTTGCACCTACTTAGGTTCCAGTTGGAAGCTGATGCATGACTATGTAGTGCCTCACGATTTTGATGAGCTCCTGAGTAACTATACCCACAAGGGATATCGTGTCATCGCCTGTGCGGCGAAATATGAACCAAAATTAAGCTGGATGAGAGTCCAGAAAATGTCCCGTGCTGATGCTGAATGTGATCTGGAGTTTCTTGGCTTTATCATTTTCGAAAACAAACTGAAGCCAAACACGACTGAAACTATTGCTGAGCTGAATAAAGCAGGGATACGCAACATAATGTGTACAGGTGATAACATACTGACTGCAGTAAGTGTTGCTCGCGAATGCGGACTAATTAGTGGAGATGAACAATGCTTTGTTCCTCGCTTCGTACAAGGTAAGCTGTCCTCGCAAGGCGTTATGGCTATTGTTAATCTTGCACCAGGTCATTCTCCTCAACATGCGTCCGATGACTGTCTTTGCTGGGAAAGTGTAGACAATCCCGCACTGAAGCTCAACCCGAGTACTCTTATGGTATGAAGTTTCATTCACAAGAAAGAGTGGGCATGGCTAACGGCGTGAAGCGTTCGGTGGATTCGACGGCTGTAGACTTATCTATACCAGGCAATGCCTGTAGCCTCAGCCATTACACTCTTGCCATCAGTGGCGAGATGTTTAGGTGGATCGTGGACTTTGGGAGCGAGTTGCTTATCAAAAGGGTGTGTATACCGGCATGGGTCTACGAGTAGAGTTGGCTTTTTATTGCGACATTGTTTTTGCTTTCAAATTAACACTGCCTGCAGGTACTTGTGCGTGGAAAAGTGTTCGCGAGAATGTCACCTGATGAGAAACATGAACTAGTGGAGAAGCTCCAATCCCTAGACTATTGCTGTGGCTTCTGCGGCGACGGTGCCAATGACTGTGGTGCATTAAAAGCCGCTGATGTCGGTGTTTCCTTATCAGACGCCGAAGCTTCAGTTGCTGCTCCATTCACCAGCCGCCGCTTTGACATATCGTGTGTTCCGACGCTGATCAGGTACCAATCATTCGAATTGAAATATCATACGTTGCATTGGATGTCTAACAAGGAAATAGGGAAGGCCGAGGTGCCTTGGTCACAAGTTTTTGCTGCTTCAAGTACATGAGCCTATATTCAGCAATTCAGTTTTCAACTGTCAGTTTCTTATACGCATCAGCGTCAAATCTTGGTGACTTCCAGGTGAATTTCAAGGCTCCTGAGAGACAATATATAACCTGCTAACATAGCATGAAGTTTCTTTATATCGACTTATGCCTCATATTACCGATAGCAATTTTTAGTAAGTGTCTTAGCTGGATTGAGGATGTCAACTACCTTGTGAATTTTAGACTGACTCTGCTCACCAGTGGGATGGACCAAGCCAAACCCTGTATTATCGCGGAAACGACCCACTGCTGATCTTGTATCACGCAAAGTCTTAATCCCGCTGCTAGGCCAAATAACGATATGCATTTTGACTCAATTAATTGCATTCGAGACTGTGAAATCGCAACCATGGTGGGTAACTTGGCTTTTCTTTAGCTCAATCTTGCTTTCATGACAACCACTGACCTTCTTAGGTTTCAACCCCCTCAGCTAGATCTAGAGGAAAGCAACATTGAGAACTCCGAGAACACCGTTCTGTTTCTGCTTTCCTGCTTTCAGTACATCCTGTCAAGTGCTGTCCTTAGCGTCGGACCCCCATTCAGAAAACCGATGAGCTCTAACAGTCAGTCCCCCCAAGCATGTGTGGTCGGCCATGTCACTAACACAGTCTAGAACCATTCCTCTCTATGATAATTGTGGATTTGATGATCTCCTGCTACATGCTGTTTACACCCTCACAATGGCTGAAGCGGGTCATCCAATTGACGTACCTGCCGGAAAGTTTCGCGTGGTGGTTGCTGACACTTGCTGCCTTGAGCTTTTTGTTCTCTTGGTTGGCAGAAAGGAATCTCTTTCCTAGATTGGCTCATTTGCTAGGGCGCATGTACACAGCCTTGCGACCAGGTCACCCCAAAAAGCGTCGCCAGTACAAGGTACTACTCGAGGAAATGCAAGGGTAGATGGAATTCCACGTTTGCACATATCCTATTCTTCAGATATGATCGTCGTCATTCTGACTTGAAAGTTTGAGTGGATGGTTCCTTTAATGACGATAGAAAGCGAGAACCTTTGTTACAACTCGATTGAGATATCTGATGTAGTCCTCAAGAAAATCAATTGTCTTCCAATCTCAACAAGCGAGACCGTACTCAGGTCTGAGAATATTTGGCAATCAATGGTCCCAAGGATGCTTCCAACCCAACAAAGCAGGACCGTCTTTCTTCGCCCTGTACATCAGCTATAGATCCGCAAAAAGGGAATGGTTAGCACTATTCGCCATATAATCGCGTGAGATTCGTACAAAGAACCACATGCTAGCTCCCAATGCAGTCGCGGTGAAACGATAGAGAGGTCGAGCGGGATGAATATGAATTGGGTGGTTTGCAGCCATATCTGTACATGACAAGTCAGTCCCAGACGATAAAAGGATTAGAGAATAGGTGATAGAAAATTCGAGGTGCATACTTTTCTGCCGTTAAAGGACTTATGTATCAGGACTGATGGTTTGAAGAAAGGTAAATCAATAGCAGTGAGGGATCGGTACGGACTAGATTAGAAGCATTACATAATCACGTGATACCAAGAACTTGCTCCAGGTAACAGCCGGCACGGTTTGAAGTCATGGACAATCTATCTTCCTTCGTACCATCTCAGCTAGTGAGATCATGACCGTCATCCAGTAAAATCATACATTGAATTATCAGAGCACTATGATAGCTCTGGCTCTCACACGAGTGAACGGATCGCGTCCCATACTACCTTGAAAACAACAGTCTTCTACAGTCTTCCTACTATCAACCTGATATTGTTAGGTATTCACAGATTTTTCTTTTGATACAAGCCATATATTTATTTGGCCATCACACAACGGTTTCTCGAGACGTGTGACTCCCAACCGAGCTCTTTTGCTCTAGAAGAATTGCAGTGGTCAAGGATCCGCGCGACGTTCGGCTTTGCCTTGACGCTAACAAATCATACCTTGTATTGCAACTTGGTTCAAGCACTATATCAGGGAGATAGAGCCTCACACTTGTCCCGATCTCGCACGGTTGGCGCCATCATCCGCATATTCGATCACTTTGGTGAGGAGAGTGGGTAGAAAATGGTCATAGTATCCCTCGAGAGAGACAGCAATGGCAACAACCGATTCCATGGGTGCACTAGCATACGTGAGTTTGAATTTTTGGGTAAGCTTGGTGAGGGTACTTTTGGGTGGGTTTCAGAAAGCCTGTACAACAATGTGTTCTCAAACTGAATGTCTACAGTGAGGTCTACAAAGCGAGATCGAAAAAGGACAATGCTGTCGTTGCTCTTAAAAAGATACTCATGCATAATGAGAGAGACGGGGTAAGATGACCGATTGGGATCACCGCGTTAGTAGATGCTGATTGATGCCCTCGAAGTTCCCCATAACCGCACTTCGTGAAATCAAACTTCTGAAGATGCTATCTCACACTAATATCTTACATCTTAAGGAAATGGCAGTCGAACGGAGTAAAGGTAAGTAGAACTTCCTACCGCAAAGTGAAACGTGCTTATACCAGCACAGGGGAAGGACGTAAAAAGCCAAGCATGTACATGGTAACACCATATATGGAACACGATCTCTCAGGCCTTCTGGAGAATCCTGCTGTTCAGTTCACTGAAGCTCAAATCAAGTGTTATATGCTTCAACTTCTTGAAGGCCTTAGATATTTACATGAGGTACTAGTTCTTGAGAACTACTTAGATCTTTGCCCTAACTTGTTATAGAATCGTATATTACATCGAGACATGAAGGGTCGGTGAATCATCAAGCAGCAATACAGCCTCTCCGACTAACCACCTGATAGCTGCCAACCTACTTATTAGCAATAGAGGCATACTTCAAATTGCTGATTTCGGATTAGCCCGACCATATGAAGAGGCCCCTCCTCAGCCTGGGCGAGGCGGTGGAGAAGCACGAAGGGATTATACTACACTCGTTGTGACTCGATGGTATCGCCCCCCCGAACTGCTTCTTCAACTCCGGCGTTATACGACAGCTATCGACATGTGGGGCGTTGGGTAAGTAAATTATCCCGATCTTCGTGGTGATGTTAGTCTGACACTCGCAGATGCGTCTTTGGGGAAATGTTCAAAGGAAAGCCGATCCTTGCCGGGAATAGCGACCTCAACCAGGCGCAGATGATTTTCAGTCTTGTAGGCTCGCCTACAGAGGAGACTATGCCAGGGTGGTCTTCACTACCAGGGTGTGAGGGAGTGAAGAATTTTGGTAACAGACCGGGTAATTTACGTGAAGTATTCAAAGAGTATCGTCCACCCTCCGAAAAGACCAGGTGAATGGGAAACTTCGAATATATGCCTAACCTCTTCTCAGGCAAAGCCCTATAGCGATATCCTTGCTTAGTGAGCTTTTAAAGCTCGACTGGCGAAAACGGATCAATGCTATCGATGCTTTGAAACATCCTTACTTTTCTAGCCCACCACTACCGGCACGACCTGGAGAGTTACCTTCTTTTGAAGACTCCCATGAGCTTGATAGGAGAAGATTTCGTGGGCAAAAGGCACCCATGCCACCGGCACCTGCAGGGGGTGCTGTAGGGATTGGTGGCCCGAACGGAAGTTGGGCAGGTGGCTCAGGGAACAGAACAGGCGTCGAAGGTCGGAATAGTCGTCTTCCAAGCACAGCCCGTGGTACTTGGAACAACGGGGTTCAGGGAGTCCCTCCACAGCGCTCTTATGACAATCGTAACTGCGAAATGCACGCAGCTCGATCGAGGACAGGTGGGGAGGATCTCAGCCAAGGATCCTGGCATAGAGGGGGGTTGCCACCTCGTCCGCCAACGTCAAATCACCAGATGTGGTCTTCCGGTAGCATAGGTAGATTGGGACGAGACAGAAGCCACCAGGCTCGCGGGCGGTCTGAAGGGAACCTAGACTCCTACATTCCAAGCTATGCTGGCGGAGGCGAACGTCCTTGGGAGAGAGACCACAATCGGGGCTACAATACGGATCGGCGTGACATCAACAATAGTGACTCAGCCTACCAACCTGTGCGAAGAGACTTTTCGCGAGAAAATCTGACAAGACGAAGGAGCCGTAGCCCCTGCTCTAGGGAAGGTGGTCGTGATGCAGCTAGGACAATCCATCGCAGGTGATTCGGTTTCACCCGTGCCACCACGACCCTGCAATCGCTAATTGTCGGATACCTTGTCATTGACTGATCGCATAAATCACAACGCCATTCATTCTTTGGACTGGAAGCATGTGGGCTTAGAATTAGTAGCAGACATAACAAAGTATTTTGGCACCAATTCTATAAGAGCATGTATTCAAAGAAAGGCTCAAGTGGTTCTATCAGTTTCCCGTTCACTCTAGCGAGAAAGATAGCTAATAACGGAAGAAAGTAATATTACTAATAGAAATAGAAATATAAAGTAGAAAGGAGCAGCGGTGTTGAATATTCTGCCGACAGGCTAGCATTGTAGACTAACTTGTTTTCTCATGTCCCAAGCGCATGAGGAAATCTTGAGTCGGAGTAATAGAGCCGTAGATAGCTCGCTAGCATATCACGGGTTCGAATCAAGTTTAAGGGGAAATTGTACTGACAGCTTCATTGGACGAGTGCCGTTGAGGGACCTCTGCCGCATAAAAAATGAACTAGGTTCGCAACTAATTTTGTGATTCCCTTCCGTTTCTAGATCCTTTCGGAGAATGGGTAGTGACCTGTCCACCTATACCTTCTAGTCATAGGTATAAGCACAAGAGAGGGGCGCTTTAATACAAGATGCGCGTCATAATTCGAGCTAGAGTAAATGATCAGTCAGGAAAGTCATAAGGTGATATCGAAGAAAGAGATTTCGTACATCCGAGGCTTTCAAGTCTCTCGTACAAGTCCTTGATTGTCATGTTGTCGACACTGCTGATATCGGCCATCAAGTATGCCACCTAATATAGTCAGCTTCGCACTGCTTAGACATGTCAATGCATAACGACATACATCACCTCTGCTATCAGTCATTTGCTTGTCAACATTGTGATCACCAAGAACCTCATTGACTGGAAGCCATCAGCAAAGCACACATTATTCCTATTTCGTAGAAAGAAGCCTACCTTTTCGCAAAACACCCGGAACGTTCTGATGAATGAAGATGACCTATTCCAAAGAATTAGCCATTATTCAAAGTTGAAAACTTTGTTCCTGTACTCACTCGGGCATGGTTGGGTTCATCCATCGTCAGGGACCGCAGAGCAACCTCCGGCAGGTTTACGGCCCCCAGTGTTGTGCCCTCATTAACATATCTCACCAAGGCTTCTGCCACCTCAACGCCAATCGCACGCTGCGCCTCCTCTGTGCTACCGCCAATATGTGGCGTGAGGATCAAATTCTTGAGACCCCTAAGATCCGTTGCCCAGTCATTGAGGCTTTGGTTGAAATAATCACCATTTCCGGCTGGCTCATTGGGATAGACATCGAGAGCGGCACCCGCCACTTTGCCGGACCGCATTGCATGGATTAGAGCAGGAATGTCCACGACACTTCCCCGACTGGCATTTATCAGATAACTGCCAGGCTTCATTTGCTCAAACTGGGGTTGTCCTATCATGTTCCGTGTCTCCGGGAGCTCAGGAACATGGCACGTGATGAAGTCCGACTCAGACAAAAGGATTTCAAGGGTTGGTACTTGGCGAGCAGTACCCAGTGCCATCAGGTTCACTACGTCGTAGAAAATAACAGACATGCCCATAGCCTCTGCTAGAACCGACAGTTGAGCGCCAATGTGACCATATCCAATTATGCCTAACAGGAACATTAGCCGACAGCAAATGATGGTAGAATCAAGAGAATACCAAGGGTCTTTCCGCGGATTTCCCAGCACTTGTTGCTCACTTTGTTCCATGTGCCGTTATGCATCTCATTGGAACGGTCACCCAGTTGACGGGCAAGAGCAATGATTTCAGCTATAACCAATTCTGCGACACTACGGGAATTGCTGAACGGTGAGTTGAAAACAGCAATTCCATGTTCAGCTGCATATTGCAGATCAACCTGGTTCGTCCCGATGCAGAAACAACCAATGACAATAAGATTCCGAGCTTCCTTTAGTACACGAGCGCTCAGCTTGGTCTTCGAGCGAATCCCAATCACATGTACATCTCTGTTCACGGGGGAGGCAAGTCAGACAGATACTAGAGCTGAAGCAGATACGACGATACTGACCGAATTTTCTCGATGAGTTGATCTTCCGGAAGGGAGGATTTAAGGAATTCCACCTGATAGCCCTGTTTGGTAAGGATGTCCCTACCCGTTTGGTTGACGTTTTCCAGGAGCAGGACCTTGATATCCTCCGTGGCAAACGGCTTCAAATGCTTTGCATTTGCTAGCGGTATCGTACGGCTTCCAAAAGCCGAGCCACCATGGCTGGAAGGAGCAGACTGGAAAGAAGCGGTAGGAGAGGTGGAGAAATTCAAGCTTTGTGAAGGGTTGAGATTCAATCCCTCTTGGACATTGATGTCCCTTGCAGATGTAGCCATTTGGTAGGATTGGGTATAAGAAGATAGAGGGTGGAAGAGTATTCTGTTACGTTAGAAAATAGAAAATAGAGGGCACAAGAAGTAGTGGTATATCCAAAAAATATAATTTGAGTGAACAGTAAGACCTAAATTGACAAGGAAGGGGGTACTGAAATTTAAAACCTCCGGAACCGGACTTGAACAGAGGCGTTCCACATTCTTTGTGACTAACACCTCATCTGGCGTTATGATCTGTTTGAGTCATCGAAAGGCACAGCAATTGTTTGGCCAGTTACTTTTTGGAGGGGCAAGCAACAGCGGGGCCGAAACATCCCCTCTTGATCCGTATCCACACAAATATCTCATGATTTTTAACTATCGACTTTGTACTCCGTATACAATTTAACCTTGGACCATGAGAGGCGCCATATTGTGTAGAATAATTCTACGAGGCTAAGCGATTGGCCAAAAGATAATTTCATTGATTGTACCCTGTACTCTATATCATCCAACTATCATGGCATATGCAATAACAGTGGTCTTCTGACCCAGGTGACTGGGATCTCGCTTTTACCGCTTTCGCTTTTTTTTTTCTTGGTTAATCGAGATGCTCACATAACAGTCATTGGCCCGCTAATTGATCTCGTCTAAAGTAACATTTGACTGGCCAGATTCAAACCTGAAGGCCCTCCAGTTTCTTCGCAGTCTCATCTGCACCGCTCACAGCCTTCGTAGTCTGCTTGGCTTTGTTTTTGTTGGAAGTACTATCTTTCGGCAGCTCTTTGGAATATGGGATAAATTCGGGAGCGCCCGGGATATACTTCCTCAGAGGCTCTGGCACAATAATACCCTATCACATTATCAGTATCAACAATCATCAGCAGGTGGGTTCAGAGTCATGACGTACATCATCTGTCTGGTAGTTTTCAAGCACACAACAGAGTGTACGTTCGGTTGCACACAAAGTCGCATTCAAGGCATGGACATAGGACTTCTTCACATCAGTAGCCTTCTTCGTGCCATAGCGAATCTCTAGGGCTCTGGATTGATAATCGGTACAGTTGGAGCAGGATACTAGCTCCTTGTACTCTCCTTGAAATGGAAACCACGCTTCAAGGTCATACTTCTTCGAGGCGGCATTGTTTAATGCCCCCGAAACAATGGCGACAACCTGGTACGGCAGGCCAAGAGACCGGTAGAACTCTTCCGAAGTGGCCATCATTTCGTCAAATGCTTGCCACGAATCTTCCGGTTTCGTGAGAACAAATTGTTCGATCTGGGCTGAGTTAGCATTACAAGCAACATGGGTAACCTAGGGCTTATCACCTTCTCGAACTGGTGGACACGGAAGATTCCCCATGCATCCTTACCATGAGCACCTGCCTCTTTCCGGTAGCAAGTACTATATCCAGCGTACCTGCGTGCTAGTTAGCCCGAGGGAGAAGTTGACTAGACATGCCGGAACCACCAACTTGATTGGGAGATCTTTATCTTGCAGCCATTCTCCGTCATGCAAGGCTGAAAGCGGTTGCTCTGAAGTAGCGATTAGGTACTTGTCGGTGGACTTGTCTTCACTTTCCGTGACTTTGTAGAGCTCCTCGTCGAACTGTTCAAGCTGGGCGGTCTTCGCCATCATGTCCTTGAGCATGAATTGAGGGGGTTGGTTAGGCTTGTAACCTTTACCCCAGAGGAATTCCAAGCCATAGTTTATGAGCGCGAGATTGAGGAAAAGCCCATAACCTGTCAAACAGTAGCCGCGGTGGCCAACCACTTTGACACCACGCTCTGAATCAAACCCATCGAGACGAGTGAGAACCTCATGGTGCGAAAGACAGTTGCGCTTCTCGACCTTCACGTTGTCGGGAGCCCATGTCCTTATTACGGCATTGTCGTCCTAACGGCAGTCCTTTCGGTTAAATAAGTCTCTAGCGTCCGACTGAATATAATACATACTTCATTGTTGCTCACGGGAACAGAATCATGAACAAGGTTGCCAATAGTCCGAATTTTGCCGTCTCTTTGCTTTTCCTTCTGGATAGCCAGTTCCTCGGCTTCCTTCTTGCGCCTCTCGAGGTCGGCTTTCTGTTCCATCAGATCATTTGCGTCTTCCTTGTTCTGTTTCAAGATTATGTCAGTTTCCTGTCAAGCAATAGAGGATACAATAGATGGATTATATAAAAGTATAATTGGACTTATATGTAAAACAAATGCGAACCTTCTTTCTCTTGCCAATTTCTTTTTGGAGTGCATTAAGCTGGGAGTTTATTTGCATAACCTCATACCGTGCTATAAGATATCCGAAATCAGCCGTTTAGAATGTGAGTATCTGTTATAAAGCAGACATAGCATACCACGCCGCGCCTCTTCATATAGGGAGAGGACCTCATCAACGACACTCTCCGGGGCGTAGCGTTTCCGTTGACTCTCTTTGATCTTGTTCGGATCGCCACCGCGATCACTGATGAAGTCTGCCAGATCAAGCATGATGAACGATTTTTTCTTGTACGATACAAAAATCCAGCGTCCCAAGATTCAACTAAGGAGGACAGAATAGCAGCGACAGTTGGCGGGGAGGACAGCTTGTAATAAGTAGGGAAGGAGGGGCTAGAGAACTCGGTTGGTGTATCATCAAATGGAGGGGCAGAAATTTAGGGGCTCGACCAATTAGGTATAGCATACTCCTACTAATGAAACTTAGTCGGCCGCTCTGCACAAACTGCATCTGTCGGCTGTCTCACCCTTCCTTTCTTATGGGACTTGATTCCAAACACAGCTCTCATGCCCTGGGAGATAAACTACTGTGTATGTATTAGATTATGTAACAGACAAAGACAGTACTTGAGAAATCGAGTGCCGAAAGAATCACAGCTGCGCCAGTGAAGAGCTGCAAAAAAACGTATCCCAGAAATACAACAACCTAGGCTAATCAACAGCTATGTTGCCTCTCCGAGAAACTGGAAGTGATATCCAAACGAGGCGTAGCCATTTTCGACCACCTAGGTCAATACCTATCCTGCTACATCATAGGCCTTATCACATTACGGCGCATTTGTTGCCTCCTGCCGGCTGTGATGGGTTTTGCGACTTTTCGATCTCCCCAATCATTAAGTCAAACGCTTTCGCAACATTATAGTCGAGACGAGCACTAGCCTCAGTAAATGCACAATGGAATTCTTCACAAAGCTGCCGGCCTTCATCTAGAGACACCTGGCGTTGCTCAGATTTGAGATCGCTTTTATTTCCGACAAGCACAAGGGGTACATGATCGGCACCCTTATTTCATGTCAGCTTCTAAGGTGGCTGCAAGGACCGAATTGGATACTCACAAGATGGTTCAAAATCTTGTCACGTATGACCCTCACCATGTCGAACGACTGACGTGAAGCCACCGAGTAGACAATAATATACCCATGTATTCCGATGAAATGCTTGGAGTTCAATATACTGTACTCGTCCTATAGCAGTATTAGCCACCCACGGGGCTCTAGGCTCAGGCCAAATTTTCTCCATACCTGACCAGCTGTGTCAACGATTTCAGTGGCATAATCTTGGCCGTTGTATTTGATGATTCGACTGAACGTGTTTTCGATCGTCGGATAGTAGCTTTCTACAAAATGATGTTCAACAAATCGAACTGTAAGAGAAGATTTACCTGGGAAATATTTTAGTAAACATGATGCGATCGAACAAGCAAACGATTGTCAAAGAGATAGGAGGCCATACCCACAGAGCGACTGCCAACAATAGCTATTTTGCGCTGCTTCGGTGCACTAGGCATCTTCTAGAGTACGGAGCGGGAAAGTGGCTATAAAATATAAGGCGATTCTTGCGGAAGTTGGTCAATGAATTAGAGATTTTTGCGCACAAAGATATAGGCTTCTCGAGGTCATTAACAGGTATCTAAGCACGAACCCACGGTTTGTTAGAGGCCTCAGTGGTCAAACTTTGTCAATTGTGTAGCACCCTTATGATAGGGATGGCAATCAGATCACAGATGAGCTCACCCGGAAGTGGCGAATAGGCAATCCAGGAGCGCAAACAAGTCAAACGGCAACTAGAACAGAGCTACGTACCAGAATCGCTATTACGTCAAAACAATATTTATATTTACAACGGGACCTCCACAGCAAACAATCTGGATGGCAATCTAACAGAAGAAGTACAATAAATACTGAAAAACATCCTTTTGACAAAGGAATGTTGTTACTTGTGTTTTTCCAGTCTTCCGTTGCAAGTAGCGATCATCAAAGGATAGGTGGGCAGGCCGCTCATAGCGACCATTGCAAGAACAGGTCTTTATTGTTACAGTTTACATATGGAGTAACTACTGGGCTGGATGAAAATCGAAATTGCATATAGATATCTCGGAGCTTTATTTATAGACGTGCTTTCTGGCGTATCTGATTCAGGACATCCTTCAAGCGCGTTGTTGATCTACCTCCACGTTCTCCCGAACTTTCAAAAAGCTGCGAGTCTTGCTCAACCTTCTGGTGAAACTTTAAGAATTCTTCTGCCGTCGATAAAACTAGTAGAAGACCTTCGCCACGAATTGATTCCCTGATTTGATTCAATGCCTCCTCGTTGAGACACAAGGTAGCCAAGACAATCGAGAGGTATCCAATCACAACATTATAATGCACTTCGGACACAGAGCGCGCCTTATCTGAATTAGCTCAATGTGTCCTCCAATTGAGAATGATATACTCTTACCTGATCAACAAATGCAAGCCCCGCGGAAAAGTGCTCGAGAAGTAACTGGAGTAGTGACGTAGAATCAGAAGCTGGATTAAGAAAAGCAGCTCGTGAGAGCTCGCTTTGTTCCGACAAGTTTATGAGCACACCCAAAGCTAAAATGTTGGCATTCAAAGATCCATGTTCATCCACATTGCGATTCATGGATGCACCAGACAACCCAGTAGTGGCAAGTTCCACAAAATCCGAGACCATGTCAGGAGTAGCAAACTCTTCGCATAGCGAAGGCACATTATTTGTAAGGTTGAGTATCACCCTGGCATATAACATAGGAATCTGCTTACTCCGATCAAACTGACAAAATGGCAGAAATTTACCATGGTTCTCGAAAAGCAGCCGGGAAAAGTTGTGATGATGATACGCTGATGTTCCCGGTAACATCGAGTGAGATTCCAGAATCAAGAATGACAACCTTGATAACTCATAGCTCTCGAGACTTGCTTTGGAGGTTGCATTGTCACATTGTGTTATCAGCAAGTCAACGATTTGTTCCGTTAGCGTCGCGGGCAAAGGTTCAATGTCGTCCCCCTTTTCGAGGAAGATAGAAATGCAGAATTGGATGCACGAAAGTGTCACCAAGCAGGGAGAAAGGCTCGGCGATGGGGACGCATTGAAAAGAACAGAGGAAATCTGAGGTAATGTCTTTTTGAAAGATCTTTGCACGACCTTGGACAGGCTGGTGGTTCCCTCAGTTGCCATATTTATGATGTCTTCGGTCATAGTAAGAAGCTTGTGAGACATTCCCAGGATTGTGGCCCAGAAAGATCTCAGACTTGTGTGAGAGAAAAGACCATTCGAGCAGATTAGTCTAAATGCACACAAAGCCATGGACGTAATGAGAATGTTTTGATCATCCGCGATGCACTTGACAAGCCGTTCATTGAAACCATATTCAGAGAATCGACGCACAAAGGCATGCTCAAGAAGTTTTGTGCATAGCTGTGCGAAGCTACTACATTTCCCAGAGAGAGAGTTATTTGGATCCTCGATGTCTTCAAATATCACCTCAACTGACTCCCGAAACCGTGCGTTATCTCCAGCCTGTCTAAGCTCATGTATGCTACGGACAGGTCTAGATTCGATTTCATCGTCGTCACTAACCAAATTTTGGTTACCATCATTGTTTGTGATGTGTGCCAGACTTGCGTCACCAGGATGTGGCGAGGATGCCGAAGTGTCCCGCTGTTCAAGAGCTGTCAAGCTCAGAGGATTACCCAAGAAAGATCGTTGGCGTGCATAAGTGATCCTAGAGCCCCGTATTCTGGAAAGCATCGGAGTGTCCGCTTTGATGGCCTTTTCAGAGCTATGATCTGTTACTTCATCCGGATTTTCACAGTGGCTTGCGCGAGGGATGTCGGTTTCTTGCAGAGGCCGGGAGTTTTCTGAGTGTATGTTTTCAGCTACAATTGAGTCAGAACCACTCGATCCAGTCTCCTTGGACGGTACTGCTATACCTAGCAAATCAACCAGTCTCTTTCGAGAAGAGACAGTTCTCCTGTCATGCCCAGCTTCCGCCAAAGTCCGGCTGGGGGTGCTACCGTCTGAGATGGGCTGTTCTTCAATGCGAAGCCGTCGTGACACAGACGCAGCTGGGTTGTAAGGGAACTCCGATTCTCTGCGTTCAATATAGGATTCCTTCAGAGGACTGCAATTCCCTTCAATATCATTAGACTTGTAAGCAACATCAGCCGCACGATCATATCTAGGCTCGTAAATATCCGAGGCTGCGTCATCGCTATCGCGTACGTCAATCTGGTCCAGGGCTGGCCGTGACTGCTCCGCATGCATATACCTCCTCTTCTTTCGACTGCGCTCGGATTGGTACAGGCCTCTATTCGGAGGAGTAAAAGGCTCTTGGGCCAGTTGATAGCCTGCAGATCCACTGCGTTTTTTAAACAGTGTCGGGGGCCCAGTTGTAACTTTATCCGCTTGCGATCGTGTGCCAGGGGACGCTTCCGCTGATGAACGGCCAGGCCTCCCCGAAGCTCTTCTGGCCGTATCTTTCTGGGGCATTTAGTAGTACTTCCAATCAACTGCGCATGAGTCTATTATCTCTCAAGCGTAGCGGGGTGCAAGGCGCTTGATAAAGGTTGGTCGCATCCAGATCTGCTTGTAGTGCCAAAAAAAAAAAAAAAAAAATGGAGTGGGCTATGTTTTAAGGGCAGGTGTCAGATCGCGTTGGAACGCACCATATCGTGGACAGTCGAATAGATAGATGACTGGACTACAACATCGCACTATGTACTATCTGGTACTCCGTACAATGCAAGCTTCCGAGGTTGGCTTGACCCACCATATTAATTGGTACTCCGTATTTCACTGAGAATATCTTACTAATATCCGCTGATTCTCTCAATCACGGGACTGACTCAACAGCTTCCAAAAGGTCAAGCTTTTAGATTATAAATGCTCAATGCAATTGTGCACTCGTCCATATGAATTGTGTCCTTTGTTATACAGTCAGAAGTTGTGGAAATGCAGTCCACCGTACTTCTGTGTATTATAACTAAGGTTAAAACTTAGGCCACGATAAATTCTAGCTACTTCGAGTTTGAGCATTCCTATTCCCAATGATCAGACACAATTCAACATTCACTGCATTGGGTCCACCTTAAGTATGTTGGAGGCTTGAGAAGGCGAACGTTGACAATGATGTCATATCGACAGAAGATTTACATATAAGCTTATTCTTATAAAGGCATATTTGCAAAGTTACAAGGCGGTGTCTTACCGTGTTGATAAGGGAAGATTTATAGTCAAGAGGAAAGCTGTTCTAGTGTGGGAAATGGCATTTATAACGTCTAGAGTCAAAGTGCATTGCGTAGACGGTGAAAGGAAAACGGAAAAAAAGCCTTGTGTCTACTTTCCGCGCTTGGTACTCGATAGATATCTACTTAATCCGTCGACTAACTTACGCCTTGCTTACTATTCCACATGTCCGTTGCTTTAAAGTAAGGGTCAAGTGCCGATACCAGGTCATAGCTACCCAGTATACAGCGACGTCGCCGAATTGACCGGATCAGCTATTAAGAGTACCCTCGGGTGCCTGCGTAAAATTCTATTGATTGGGGTTTGGAGTCACAGGGCAAAGTGATCCAAAAGACATAATTTGATAGAAGGATGAACAACCACGAACCACCTACTTAGTTATTGGCTTTAAATGGTTCACGGCGGTCGGGGAAAAGCACTGTTCACGAGTTGGTACCCACTAGGGGTATATGGTACAAAGTGTGAAGAGCATATTTTCATTAGCAATTGTTTCAAGATGTATCAGATTAGGCGGAAACTCAGTCCCGAACTTGAAAGGCGTTTGTTTAATGCCCATACCCAAATCTTGGGCCGAAGTTGATTTTTCAGGCTAGCTTGGGTGCTCTCTCAGAGGATAATGGACGGTTCTAGACTGATTGCATGTGGTTGAATCCACTTCTATGGATAGTTTACCGCAGTACTACCGTGATACTCCGTATTACGATTGACTACGGAGTAGTACTAATAGCCAACTTAAGTAGTCCCACTAACTTATTGTACCAATGAGGAAACGTTTTAGCCTCGCAGATTGTTATCCTGAGCTTTACATGCCTGCATTACTCTCTAAACTCCAACCCAACCCTTCTACCTTGGTAACAGGTTACTTCGCTGCAAATATCTTTCCTTTCCTGTTTCTTCACCACTTTTCGTCTCTTTCATTTGTGGAAGGCAGGGATAAGCTACCATAGCCAAGACGAACGAGATGTCAGAAGCCACTCCCTCCCCCGCGCAAGGCGTTGGCCCCATCTACAGGCCCGATGGCGAAAAGCCCACAGCGACAGTATCTAAAGACATATCGTACGAGAATGTCCACGTTTTACCTCAGTCCCCTCAGCTGATCGCTCTTTTGACGTAAGATGAAGGCCGATTCATAACTTATAGGCTAACACTAGTCAGTATCCTCTGCTGACACCTTTCGTAGCATGATCAGAGATAGAAGGACTAGCCGTGCCGATTTCATCTTCTACTCAAACAGGATCATACGCCTCCTGGTGGAGGAGGGGCTCAATCACCTGCCAGTGGTTGAACAATCGGTCACGACACCTGTAGGTCGCGTCTATCTCGGAGTCCGGTTCGAAGGGAAAATATGCGGCGTTTCCATCATGAGAGCAGGAGAGGCGATGGAGCAGGGTTTGAGAGATTGTTGTCGTTCTGTCCGAATCGGAAAAATTCTTATACAGAGGGACGAGGAAACTTGCAAGCCAAAACTGTTCTATGAAAAGCTCCCTGGTGACATCGCAAATCGATGGGTGCTTCTTCTTGATCCTATGTTTGCAACAGGCAAGTTCTTCGACTCACCGCACTAAACGAACTAACACAAAACAGGGGGCTCTGCAACACTTGCCGTTGAGGTGTTGAAAGCAAAGGGGGTCCCGGAGGACCGCATTTTGTTTCTTAACCTTATCGCAAGCCCTTCAGGCGTTGCAGATTTTGCTGAACGCTTTCCAAAACTCAGAGTAGTGACTGCTTTCATAGATCAAGGCCTAGATGACAAAAAGTGAGTATCTCGGGTCTATAAAACCTACATCTACATTGCTGATCAAGGCCATTCTAGATACATCATACCAGGGCTTGGTGACTTCGGCGACCGCTATTACACGCTGTAGCCATACCAACGAAGATTGTGGCTTCAGAAACCACTATGATATACATACATACATATGTATGAATAAAGTACACGTTTACAGCTTAACGATGTCGCAGCTGGATTCCATTCACAGTATTAGGGTATAGTATCTTCCACTAAGAAGTGTGCCGCAAGTTCAATGTTACTTCATTTGGTACGCTGCGGGATCCTCTAAGTTCAGAGTCAGTATTCATCGGCATATGTATCGTTCCGATCCGCTTCCTCGAACCCAACATCACGAGCGCTGGGGGAAGTAGCGAAATCGTTCGAAGGTCTGACACGAGGATCATTATCCTCGTACTTGGTAGCAGTATCCTTGGCAACCGCGTCACAGGCATCCACCCAGTCCGAGTATACATCAACAGCAGCGGAGAGATCTAAGTATATATCATAAGCAAATGCCACTCACGTAGAAGAGATCATGCACGCACAGTTTATGCCCGTCTGAAATCGCTGACCGCAGACTTTGCAGGACAGGTTCCCTAGGCCAAGTTTCTTGTCTAGTTTTACGACGATGGAGTTTTCGTGATTGCAGAAAAGGCACGCAAATGTCGTAGGCAACGGTTCTCTCTAACTCAGTGTTAGCAACGGTAACGCCGAGGAATCAGAAGGTGGTCACCTTTCTAGGTTGCTGTGGTTGCCTGCTCGACTTCTTCCGCTTACCCTAGATTCATAGAAAGCTTAGAGAAAGGTAGATTGGCAATGTGTAGAGTGGCATACCATGCTTCAGAGTTTCTAGGTGACGCGACCGGCAATTCAAGATGTCCTTTAATACTGTAAGAAATTTGAACCTCTTGGGTTGACAGCTCAACAGCCGATGTGAGTTCAGCAGAGCAATGCACGAAACTGCTGCAAAGTCGGCGGCAAATTTATGTTGTGAAGGCACAAATCTAGTGAAACAAAGCGGTGCGAGCAAGTGACCGGACCGATTTTATCTGAGTGTGCTTCGCAGGCTATGAGGAAGTTTGAGTGCTTCAGTGGAGGACTAGGGATCTTCGGGGAGGGGGGCTAGACAGGTATAGCCTAATCATCCACTACATGCACTCCCCGAGACTGAAGAACACTATTCGGTGCACAAGGTAATGGAAAAGCAACCAGTTGGTTGACTGGTGGTAGATTAGTCATCGACTGGTAGTTAACCTAACTAACATTAAAATAACTATGTAGAGTGAGTGACTAGTCAAATGATTAACTTAGTTCCCGCCCGAATCGGCCAGCCATACAACTTCATACAAAAGATATCTATAACATCTCGGCGATTATGAGTTAGCAATTTCTGAATTAATCAATGGTTCTATTAGGTAGGTAATATATGTATCAGAAAATTATCAAGATTTTTTCTTAATATAGGGTTATATAATGACTAGAGATCCTATATGCTAAGTTAACCTTAATAGTCACTGGAGATGAAACAAATGAAATGAGAACGAGGGGGGGGGGGGGGGGAAAGAAGATCGAAAATATTTATTTTTGTATGATTTATATAGATTCCACAGATCTCTGCTAGTTGAGATACCGTGAACTGAGAATGGCTTTCGTATGGCACGGGTGGTTGACTCGGGCGGAAAGTACACCACCATACGTTACAGAGTATGAATATAACTACACTATGTAGCTGTGTAATGTGATGCATTCGAAGTTGTAACAATTAAATTTCTATATGGATAATAAAAGAGCCCTGGAGAAGAGCCCAGGTCTGAAGAGGTAAAGATATTAGGCAGCATAATGTTAAAATTTGTACTTTACTGAGCCACTTGACTCGAGCATAGACACCTGAGAATTTCGGGGAAAGCCTATACCAGTACAACCAGGCACTTGCAATCTCGAAGCTGTCCAAGTGATGGGAAGATACTCCGTAGAAACGGGGTAGATAAAATCATGTGATGTAAAAGTTTTGTCCAATCATTGTGAACTTTGGGGGGCTTGGTGGAGGCGCAAATATTATGTAACTGGATAGGGCCGACGCCTCGCTTAGCCGACTTTTCTGTGGGATTTCGATTTCTACTCTCATCCCGCGATCGAGCAGCAAGCAGCAAGCAGCGACAATCGATCCGACTCACCTCCACCAGAGCGTGTGGTGTGATATCCTAGTCTGTCTTCAAGCCGCGCAAGATAGACACGAGTCGCAAATATGGCCGTTGGAAAGTATGTGAACGCCCTACTCTGTTATGAATTTAAGTTGCAGCAATTCGACCGTATTGCGCTCTTGCTGATTTCATGGCAGGAACAAGCGCTTGTCGAAGGGCAAGAAGGGTGTTAAGAGGAGAACTGTTGACCCTTTCACCCGGAAAGACGAGTACTCTGTTAAGGTAAGTTGACGATTCGAGAGTTTGTGGATTTTGCTAACAAGAATAGGCTCCCTCTACCTTCCAGACTAGAGAGTATGGCATCGCCCCTCCCCCCATTTCGTCGTCAGGACTTTCAGATATTATTCAGCCTCGTTATAGACATCTTTTCTCGCATTCTCCCTGTGCAAACCAGTCGCTGACGTTCCCTTTGTTGAAGTGTTGGAAAGACTCTGGTGAACCGTACCAGTGGTCTGAAGAACGCGAACGATTCCCTGAAGGGCCGTATCTTCGAAGTCTCTCTTGCCGACTTGCAGAACGACGAGGACCATGCCTTCCGTAAGGTCAAGCTCCGCGTGGATGAGATCCAGGGAAAGAACTGCCTGACCAACTTCCACGGACTGGATTTCACGACCGACAAGCTGCGATCCCTTGTGCGCAAGTGGCAGTCGCTGATTGAAGCCAACGTCACTGTGAAGACGACCGATGACTATCTTCTCCGTCTGTTCGCCATCGCCTTCACGAAGAGACGCCCCAACCAGATCAAGAAGACTACATATGCTCGCTCGTCCCAAATCCGCGCTATCCGCAAGAAGATGACCGAGATCATGCAGCGCGAGGCCGCTAGCTGCTCTCTCGCTCAGCTTACCACCAAGCTCATTCCCGAAGTTATCGGTCGTGAGATTGAGAAGGCTACCCAGGGAATTTACCCCCTGCAGAACGTTCGTTTCCCTCGGTCCTCGTCTATTATTAATTATTTGCGACTCATCTAATGCTCCATTAGGTCCACATCCGCAAGGTCAAGCTTCTCAAGTCTCCCAAGTTCGACCTCGGTGCGCTTCTGAACTTGCATGGCGAGTCTACAACCGATGACAAGGGACACAAGGTTGAGAGAGAGTTCAAGGAACAGGTCCTTGAGAGCGTTTAAGCTCTAGCTATTCGCTGGTCATGGATTCTGGTTGCTCTGCCATCTTGGGTTCACGGTGCCACTGCTCCAAGTATGATAAGTTTATGTCAAAAGTAGTGTCGTTAGCCAACAAATGACAGTATATGCAAGTTGTTCACAACGCCATGCAGCTTCTCAGATAGGCCTTATCACTGGGACGTTTTAATCTTATTCATGGGTAAAGCGGAAGGGTAAACATTCTAGTTTGGTATGTTCAACGTTTGGCTGATATCCTTCCTAGTGGTTGATCACTAAATTGTAGATATTGTGAATTGAAGATACATCTGATTGGCGGTTTCTTTTTGCTATAGGGCTTGTGCGTCCACTATCGGATGACCCCGTACTCGGTATATTTTAGGCTTCCAACTCCGCTTTCCTGTATATCGTGTTATATGAGCATCACACATGTCTTAGTGTAGGGCATGCGGAAGGTCGGCCCAGGCTTAAAGAAGAATAAAGCTTGGCTGTAATGTGTTAGAAGTCCGATGCTACATGGTTATCATTATTTCAGGCAGCTTCTATACCTAAGGCTTTTCCCGCTGCCAAGAAATCGAACTCTCACTGGCCACATTCCTCAGTCCTTTACGGGGTTTTGTATGAACCGCGAGAACCGCTTCTACATGTAAGATCGCTTTTAGGTGCGCTCCGTGGAGGTCTTCTGCCCACCTCCTATGCTATCCGGCAACAGCCTTGAGTAACTGGGCCACATTGGCTCAGATGCACATCCGTTATAAGCTTGGCCCTTGGAGGCGTTCAGGCCTCAGGGTGATAAACTACGGACAAATCTAAGGGCCGTGGCTTCAACGGCACCCTTTCTTTGTCGTCTGTACCCTCATTGCGAATAAAAATTTGGCTATTTGATATGAAGAAACCTGATATCAGTAGGGAAAACGATTACTCCCTTTGTTTGTCGGGATTTCCTTTGTTCATTTATTAATCATTCTTATATCTTGTTGGGTTCCATTCCAGCACCTTGCAGGCCACGCTAGAGATTCTAATCAGCTTATATCTGATTTCTTTGATTATAGCAGTAATCTATTGTCTATCTTTATATTATCAATATATCATAAGAGCAGAAATATTCTAACTTATTTTGGATTTTTGTTTTTATTTAGCTGTAAGAGATGGGGCAGTCAGCTAGCTGTAATCCCAGTGACAGTATGGAGAAATACAATAATATAAGCTAACCTCCCTGAATCTCGATTCAGCGCGCCTTTAGAACACTTCTTATCTTCACATTTTCGTCTTCCTGGATCTAAATTTCAGCACATCTTTAAGTATTTCTTATTTTATTTTCTTATCTTCCTGAATTTTGATTTAGTATACCGTTGAATATTTTTTACCTTTACTTGAAGAGACAAGTTATATTAAGAAATCAATCTATCTATAAGTAATATATTTAATATGAAAGAGAATTTATGTAGAAAGTATGTGATAGAATAGCCAGCTATCAAGACCAGGATCACCAGAATAATGTATTATAGTAGTTAGGAGAATTATAAGATTGTTTTATATTTTATAAATTAATTATAAGATACAGAATTCTTCGTATTAAGCTACTGATTTTTTTCAAATTAATCTATTCTATGGATATAAATTATCTTTAAATAAATCTTCAATCTATAATAATTAGCAATCAAGTTCTTATCTAATTAACTGTTAGAGATTGCTCCTTAATGCCAAGGATACATCATCTATAGAATAAGAAGAAATAGCTGGTATTATGTGATAGGATCTACTTGTCAGGGT